CATTCCAATGATCTGTCACACAAGTTTTTCCTGTGGCATCTTCCTTGACTACTGATGCTTTCACAGAATTCTTCTGAATGTCTCATGATAGTACAAAAGGGATGTTGGAATAGAAGCTTCCTACATGATGGCCATATCGGGGCATCACCATTTATTTATAACAGCTGGAGGGCTCTCTTGTACTTGGGAATTTGGCAACACCCAAGAAATGCTTTATTCTTCCATTTAAACACATAAAGCTAAGAAATCCTGGGATGATGATCTATTATTCTTCCAAAAGCCATTTCAGAAAAGACTAAAAGTTTCCCTTTTAGTGACAGGCAAGGACAGAGAATTCTTTTTGGAAGAAATCTCACCAGCAAACCAAGAACTACTTGGACAGCATATATTTTATATCAATATATTTGGTGGTAGAGTTTCAGGTTAACTGAAATCACTGTTTTAAAATTAGAGTGCAGTCTGACATGACAATATGGAAAGGATCAATGGTTAAGTGAGTTACCATCTCTCAGAAAGATGCTGTTGGCAGAGGCATTGTCATGGCACGCACTTTCCTATTAGGATAAAATTCCCAAGACACTCATGAGGCTTTGCAAGTAATCATTAGCATGGCTTCCCACTACAATTGAAAACATATGCCTAAATACTGTTTTTGAAAATGACACAAATGTTTAAATACCAACATAAAAAAAATCTATATAAAGGTGCCAGAAACTTATGTGGTAAGAAAAGCCAAAGAATTTGTGCAAAAGCATGTTTCTTACTGTCTTCTATTTGAATAAACATTGCTGAAAATTTAAAAGGCTTCAACATTCCATCCTTGAAACCTACATATTTTATGTAGATTTTATGAAAAAAAGCAATCCAACTGTGGCATCAAAGTCCACCTTTAAGACAGGCTTCAAAAGTAAAAAACAAAAAAAAACAATCTTCTTTTCTAGGTAATACAAGACATTAGGGAGAGGTAAAATGCAATTACCACTTTGCTTCAGGAAAGAATATTTTTTAAAATTGCAAATTCCATATTGGATGAACTGAGCTGAGTCTAAAAGCAATTTACTTGGTGACTACATTTTTGGAGAATGTAGCTTATATGCAAGTGAAGATTAGCTTTCAGGGGTATTCATGAATTCCTTATATTTCCTAGGTAACAATGAATATAGTTATGATTTCTATTTTATCTTGACAAATATTTATTGAGTTAACCAGGTTCTGTGATATATCTAGAAAGAGAGAGAGAGGGAGATACCAAGGAGAGAGAGAAAACTTGAGAGGAAAGTGCAGTTGTGAATACCAAAATGGGAGAATGGATTAAGTGCTGATTAGAAAGTCTTAGAAGAAGATAAATTGAGTTTGAAGCATGATGTTTGCAATGTTAATGGCTTACACAATGTGTGTTATCTACCAGTAAATTGTAAATTCAAATGTTGAGCTTAGAAAATGGCAAGGACTAATGACACACATTTTGGATTTGTTTGCACAGAATAGATAATAGAAGCTAAATGAATAAATGAGATGCCCAAGGAATATATAAAAAGAAGAGGACCAGGGACACAACCTCTGGATATACACACAAGTATGAGCAGGAGGAAGCCAGCTAATGGAGAAGGTGCAGCCAGGGAATTTGGGATTTATGTAGTAATATAAGGCTTAAGCAATAGGCAAAGAGAGATTCTATAATGCCAAACAATGCAAAGAGGTGAGAGATATCACATTGGTTGGAAGACTGCATTTTCTTATTATAAGAATATTCAAGACACAAAATCAGCAATTAGGTAGAGACAGCAGTAGATGAGATATACATCTCATGTTATATCAGGGCACAAGGTTTCTAAGCCAAGATTCAGTGGAGAATAAAGTGGAGAATAAAGTGATTAAGGATTTAATTGGTACCAAAGGTCATGGAGGTGGCAGGGTAGTAGGAGTAAAACTTGAGAGTAGAGTGAGACATCAGTAGTCTGGGTAAGGGGGATTATTCCTTAGCTGTTGAGCAAGCAAAGAGGGGACCAATGAAACCTCAGGTATAATTAAGCATGAGAGAGGACATCAAAAAACACATTTTAGAAGATTCTTGGTTTCTGAAATTTCAAGTTGAAATTATATGAGGATAAAAGACTCAAATCTGGGATTTTAGGTATAAGAATAAAAAGTGATAGAAAAAGAATGTAATAAGTAAAGAACACTTTGAAACTTTCGTTTATCCAAGAAAAAGTAACCAAATTTAAAAACTGAAGTCAGAGTTTAGGTCACCCTTTTTTTGTTTGTTTGTTTGTTTGTTATTAGGGACTGAATCCACTGAGTTAAGTCCCCAGTCCTTTTTATTTTTTGAGTCAGAGTCTTGCTAAGTTGCCTAGGGCCTGGTTAGGTTGCTGAAGTTGGCCTTGAACTTGCAATCCTCCTGCCTCAGCCTCCCTGTGGGATTACACGTGTGTCACTGCACCTGAATAATTAATTTTTAAATTCAGAATGTATCTTCCATAACTGTGATATTTTATAATGATTTTTACAGATACATTTTGTATCTATTTCTTATACTGGAAGAGAAACTAGCATATTTCTTGGAATAGTTCCAATATTACAATAAGACAGGTGATGAGATTCTATCCTGGCCTATAAGGTAGATTAGGAATGTGTGAAATTCTATCATCTGTGACAACATGGATGAACCTAGAAGACACATAAAATGAAATAAGCCATGCATAGAAATATATTTTTAATCACTGACTGACCAGCAAACTGAGGTTGTTTCCTTGGTGTAGTGGTTCTCAAACTTTAGGGTCCATCAGAATTACCACAAGGGTTTGTTAAAATGCAGATGGCTGAGTCTTAGAATTCCTGAGGTGTGGCCTGAAAATTTGTATTTTGAAAAAGTTCTCATTTATCATGATTTTTCTAATGTGAGGATCACACTTTGAAAATCACTCTTATAAAACATTTACTGCTCATTATTACATATCATGTTAAATCTCTGAACAATAGTACTTTCACTCCTGTTGATTTGACAAATTAGAATTTGTGGATGTATTAAAATCACAAGCAATCCTTAGCAGGGAGAGTAAAGCATGTGGCATTACTATACCAGACCTTAAACTATACTACAGAGCAATAGTAACAAAAACAGCATGGTATTGGCACCAAAACAGACTGGTAGACCAATGATACAGAATAGAGGACACAGAGACTAACCCACAAAACTACAATTATCTTATATTAGACAAAGATGCCAAGAATATGCATTGGAGAAAAGATAGCCTCTTCAACAGCTGGAAATCCATATGCAACAAAATGAAATTAAACCCCTCTCTCTCCCCATGCACCAAAATCAACTCAAAATGGATCAAGGACTTAGGTATACAACCAGAGACCCTGTGTCTAATTGAAGAAAAAGTAGGCCCTAATCTCCATCATGTTGGATTGGCCCCAACTTTCTTAATAAGATTCCTGTAGCACAAGAATTAAAATCAAGAATCTGTAAATGGGATGGACTCAAATTAAAAGTTTCTTCTCAGCAAAAGAAACAATCTGTGAGGTGAATAGAGAGCCTACATCTTGGGAGCAAATCATACATCATACATCATACATCAGAAAGAGCACTAATCACTAGGGTATATAAAAAACTCAAAAAGCTAAAAAATATATATATATATCCCAATCGATAAATGGGCCAAAGTCCTGAAGAGACACTTCTCAGAAGACAATGTACAATCAATCAACAAACCATGAAAAATGTTCATCATCACTAGTAATTAGAGAAATGCAAATCAAAACCACTTTAAGATTTCATCTCACTGCAGTCAGAATGGCAGCTATTATGCATACAAACAACAATAAGTGTGGCGAGGATGTGGGGGGAAAAGGTACCCTCACACACATCTGGTGGGACTGCAAATTGGTGCAGCCAATATGAAAAGCCATATGGAGATCTCTTGGAAAATTGAGAATGGAACCACCATTTGACCCCGCTATCCCTCTCCTCAGTCTATACCCAAGGGACTTAAAAGCAGCATACTACAGGGACACAGCCACATCAATATTTATAGCAGCACAATTCACAATAGCTAAACTGTGAAACTAAACTAGATGCCCTTCAATAGATGAATGGTTGAAAAAATGTAGCATATATACACAATGGAATATTACTCAGCAATAAAAGAGAATAAAATCATGACATTTTCAGGTAAATGGATGGAGTTAGAGAAGATAATGCTAAGTGAAGTTAGCCAATCCCCCCAAAAAACAAATGCCAAATGTTTTCTTTGATATAAGGAGGCTAATTCATAGTGGGATAGAGAGCAGGAGCATGGGAGGAATAGACGAACTCTAGATAGGGCAGAGGGGTTGGAGGGGAAGGGAGGGGGTATGGGGTTATTTATGATGGTGAAATGTGGCGATCATTATTATCCAAAGTACATGTATGAGGACATGAATTGGTGTGAATGTACTGTGTATACATAGATATGAAAAATTGTGCTCTGTATGTGTAATAAGAATTATAATGTGCGTTCTGCTGACATATATAAAAAAAATTAAAAATAAAAAATAAAATCACAATACTAATATTTTCAAAAAAGCCTGAGTTAAATTCACTTCCAAGTATTGTATAAACCATGTTACATATCATCCTCAGTACTTTTCGAAAATGACCCTACCTACTGATTGAGAAGTCACAGAGTTGGCTTTAATTCAGAGGAATACATATCCACACTTAAAATTTCCTCCTGCCCTAATTCACTACTTCTACATTTCACCTTAATATTGCTAGGAACTATTATAGATGCTGTACATATCAACTCTTTTAGTTCCTCACAACTCTCTAAGTTAATTCATTTTATTGGCTCCATTTCCAGATGTGGAAACCAAGGCATAGAGAGATTAAATACCTCACTAAAGGCCAGACAAAAGTAAGCACTGGAGTCTTTCTAGTTTTAATACCATGGTGTTAACCTATTGCCTCTATTACTGTACGTCTCTTGAAGTATGGCTTGAGCTCCACTACTTACCGGTTCCAAGAAACAGGACATGGTATCTACCATCCGCAGCATTCACTCGGTCCACAGCGATCTTCGTATACTTGTAGTCAGTGCCTATGCGGACAATCAAAGGCCGCCTGTGGATTGGGTAGATGGAATTGTACATCAGAGGATGGTTCCGAATGAAAGTGACAACATCATCAGGGAACTCCTTGGTGGTTCGCATGTTGGGCGTAAATGCTCCTCCTGGGCACTAAAACAGAACAAAACAAAATATATAGAGAATGAACCAAGTTAATAAAAATGGTTACTCTATTTTAGTAATAACTTGCCGCAGTCTGGCTGGGCACAAATGCCGCAGTCTGGCTGGGCACACAATCACGAGCCACCACACAGCTTGTAGATTCAAACAGCAACTCTTTATTCCCGAACTCACACCAGCCGTCTACAATCACGTTCTGGGGAAATCCACGTTCTCTGCCCAAATCCACCCCCACTGGGCTTCTGTCTCCCAAAAAATACAGTCTGAATCCCGTGAGAACTCAAGGGGAACTCAGGCAGCAGGATACGCCCTATTCCCAGCAGGAATAATCTTAAACCTTAAACCTGGAACCTAAACCGGGAACGCCCTAAATCCGATTATCCTAAACCGGGAACACCCTAAACCCGGATCCGCCCTGGTCCTTGAGCAAGGTCACCTACATGCAATGTCACTGCAAAATGTCCTATTTCCACGAGTCCTTCCACTAAGCAACATGGGGTACGCTGGCAAGGAAATTGTCATAGCTACTTGGCTAATGGCTCCCAGCATCAACTGAGATCTCTTTCTCAAAACATTTAAAGCTCCAGTTGTTTAAAGTGCATTTGCTATCCACTGAGAAAATAAAATTATATACATATAGAGAGACAGCTATAGATATAGATATATATCTGCAGAAAATTAGTATCCAACGTGTTAAATTTGATCATTGAATGAAGCTAAGTCCACAATATCTACCCTATTTGTTTTCAGAGAGGAGCTGTTGCCATAATATTTACTGTTTTGATCTGTCATTTTTATGTTTCTTATTTTTCACCTTGACACTAACATGATATAAAAACCAAAATTGTGGACAAAATCTAATGGTTCTGTTGGTTAATATCAATTAGATGGCCATTATCAAAGTCAATCAGTACTCACATGTAAGAGTTTTGCTCCATCTGACCTCTAGTCCTAAGAGGAGGTGATCTCAGAAGCTGGAACTTAGGTTCGATATGGTAAATTAGACCTGAAATTCTCCTCTGGAAAAGACTCCAGTCATGTTCATTTAATGCCCTACAAGCCCCTACATGACCTGGCCTGGGCCTGCCACACCTATTGTAGTTCTTGCTGTACCTGAACTTCCAGCATGCTTGCCCTCCCGGATTTTGGCTCCTGCTGTTGTTCCGCATTGGTCATACTTTTCTCCAGCCTGTTCCAAGGCTTTCTCTGTGGCCTCATTTAGTTATCAGTTCAAAAATTGCTTCCTTTAAGGTGATGACACACAAAAGTAGCTCCCCCACTCCATCTCTACCATCTATCTCCTTAGCCTATTTTTCTTCAAACTCTTTCCCTAACAGTATGTTACATATTAACTGCTTGTATCTCTATTATCCATTTCTCTCTCTTCAATGTAAGCTGTGTGCTGAGAATAACTGGATCTATATTGTTCATTGTTCTCAGACCTATAACAATAGTGGTAACAGCAGATATTTGACCAAGAGGAGTTGAATGAGTGGAGTACATGATTCATTCTATCTAGCCTGCAATTTTGGTACAAGTGCTATATGAAACAGATTCTCAACTCCACCCAGGAGAAGAGAGATTCAGAGCATCCATTTCAAAGGGGCAGACAGAAAGCAGTAATGAGATCTAAAAACAGACTGCTGGGCAGCTTCGGCAGTTCTGGAAAGGAACCCTGACAAGGGCTTCTGAGGAGAAGCTTCCTAAATGTAACATTAACTAAGGCCAAACTTAAGAGTAGTATGGGAGCTACTGAAGTTTGAAACTTAAACTCCCTCATTAACTAGCAGCTGACTATGACGTTATATGAGCATTGCCGTTGAATATGATATTTTAACATACATAAACCTTATTTACCTAACCTTATTAAATGCTTGAAAATATTTCTACTTACAGAAACAAAAATATTTGAGTTTTTTTTTTCTTGAAATGCATAGCACTCCTGTTGTAGTTTTCACTATCCTCATTACAGAGTTTTAGAGTAAAAGGGGAATAAGAAAGCCAGCTTCCTGATCAATAGCAATGGGTACAACATCAGTAGTAAACTGCAGGATATAATGGGGGCCGTTACCAACTGGACAGTTACACCTTAGCCAAAGGTGGCTATGGTCCCTTATGATCAGCTATTACTGCTATTCAGGAACATAAGCCTAGTGCTGCCAGGTTTCACCAGACGATAGAAATGCAGAATGCTGTGTGAAATTTGCCAAATCTTTAATTGTTGACTCCATGAAAAAGGAAAACAACTTTGGGGTTCAAACAAAATATGACAACCTCTAAGTTGAACCCTTAATAGCTATCTAATGGCATTAGTACTTTTGGGTCAGTGTTGCCAGACATACTTGCATTTTCAAATACATCATCAGATTACTTGTATGATCTCACTTCATTTAGTCAGTATCAGCATGATACAATTTTCACACTAACTTGACCAACTGGCATTACTAGAACTTTTTTTTTTTTTTTTTTAGGACCAGTAAATCTAGTTCTCTTTTTTGAACAAAGACTCAGAGAAAAATTAAATGGCTTAACAAAGAAGACACAATGACACAAATAATAATAAGGAGCCTCATGCTCCTTATTCCATTTTCTGTAGTTCATATGTATTTCTTTTAAGGAAAAGCATCATATTTAAATAGACATATTTATAAATTCCCCAGAATGAAGGGGAAAATGAGGACAAAGAATTTAATGAGAGGTTTTTCTAAGCTGGTAGATGTGCTCCATAATTCTTTACAATATGGAATTATGGGTGTCTTCTACTCTCATTCTTCACACCAAGTGGAAAAAGGGAGATACATTGCCTACTGAATGAAAACATGGAAAGAACAGTGCATGGGCAATTTAAATGGTTCCAGACCTTCATAAAACACCACTAATTACAGTTTGCTAGGCTGAGACATCTCCATAAATATTTGCAAGCATTCTCCTTTGTAAGTTCCAGAAAGATCCAAAGTTAGTGTATATTACTAGGCAGTTTTGATCATTTCCAGTTAGTACAGATTGGTGTATGAAGAGCATATTAAGTTATCAGTATCTGATATCTGCTCTTTACTCAAAGATAATTGAAATTCAGATACAAATTATGTCAAGATTGCTCAAAACCACAGTTTTAATAAGGTAACCCTAATAAATCAAATCAAATACATACTTTGCATTCAATTACTCCCCCTACATTTGATACTTTTGTTGTATAATATTCACAATCAACTTCTTTCTTAGGAACAATGTCTCCTAGCATGAGTTTATTTTTAAATTGACAAAAGAATTAATTTTTATAGTACTTATTTATTTCATTAATTCACGCATAAACTGTGCAGATAAGTTGTAAAATGATGGATCAAATGGTGATGAGAACAAAAATAGATTTACCTTTTGTGGACTCTATCTGTCTGGTAAATTTGGCTTAGTATAACATTCCCAAGTAAAAATCAGATGTGATTAACTTTCTCCTCATCTTATGATAGAGCACATGTGTTGAAACCTCCACACATCCATAGTCTATCATAAATGAAACCCTTTATACATTAATTAGGCTGGTGTCTCATTCTTCAGAAGGTTCATTTTACTCTACAAATAGCCAGTAAGCAATTTTGGTTAAACTGTTCCTTTAAGTGTTTGCTTTTATTCAGTCCTTCTTTCTTTCTGTTTGTCAGCAGTGATAAGCAGCATTTTTTTTCCAGTAAAGACATTTTAAGTATTCTTAAAGTGTTAGATGAAATGCTATGAATAATCATGTTAAGGAAGTATCAATAATGATTGTCCTTACCTAATTCTTTCCTATATTCCTGTGCCTTCTGATTCTCCACAATGTTCTCCTAAACTTCACATCTATTAAAGTTTTCTAATAATATAGTTACATATTAACATATGTGTGTGTGGTCTTTCTTTGTACATCCTCTATTAAAAATGAATTTGGATATGCTCAGTACAGGACGGCTAGTAAGAAATTGCTGTTGCTTTCTAGACACAAATTCTCAAATAACAAATTCAAAGCAAAACTACAACTAAGAAACAGAGTAATAATATCAGACAAATACAAAATAAATAACAGAGCTTAGTTCAGGACCAACTGTTGTATATACTTAAGAGCCAATATTTTTAAAATGAACTTTGAACAGTGGAAAACTTCAGGCTGCCAGGGTCAGTGCAGAAGTTTAGAGATGAGAACACAAAGGTTGAAGTATTTAGGGAACTGTATGTAATTCCTGGGGCACTCAAGCAGATGGTTCTGCTATACTTATAAATACATATTAAAATTGAACACTTTTATTAGGTTCTGCTTTAAAAGGATATGCAGTATATACAAAAAACTATCTTCTGCAGAAGGTTTATACATGTTGCAACAGAATAAAGTAATATGTAAGCTGGGCCAGGGAGAGAGCCTGCAGTCTTTGGCTGCCCTTCGCAACATACCAAAGGTGTCTTGTTTCTTCCACAAACTTGAATTACTTATGGAAAAACATTGTGACAAAATTGGCAGGCTTCCTCCTACTGACTTGAGCTTGCTGGTTGGGCCTCTCCTAACACCACTATCAGCTCTGCTTTAAAAGAAGCACCTACAGGGAGCATTAGAATGAGGGTATAGGATTTCTGCCAGTGTCATTTCTCTAAGAACACAGTCATATATTTATGGGGTTGACCCGGCAACCAGACTACTGTGTCGGGAAATAAAGTACCATGATCACAGTCCACCGTTCGCTGGGAGGACTTCAGAGGCAGCATTCTTAACCCAAGAGGAGACGGAATGCTTTGGGGCACTTGGCTGCAGATCCTCTGGCTACATGAGCAGGAAGCCCAGGCAAGAGACAGATCCTGGCCACTCTGAGTCAGAGAGCTGACTTCATGGTGTTTTGCTCTGTGAAGGGTGGAGGGACCAAGTCTTGAGGGAAGGATGCTTTTCCAGGAGGAATGCCAGAGGTCACTCCTCCACCCTGCCTTTTTTATTCCCTCAGGATCACTCAACTGACAATTTTTTGATTTAAAGGAGCTGTTCTGGTCTCAACACCAGATGTACGAAACCACATTATAGAAAAATGTCTGACATATTGACTACTCCCTTTTTCATGGAGTCTGTTCCAGATGTGTGTCACTAAGCCCTGGCTTATTCTACACTGCTTCAGAATAGGGAAGAGCTGAAAAAAAAAGGAAGAAAAAATGAACAGAGCGACTGTTAGAAGAACTTTCTAATTTAGCATTGGTTTGTTGTGTTTTACTAAAAAGGGCTGATCTATTTGCACATTTTGTAGAATGTTTGCTTCCAGACAAGAGTGGTTTTCTCATTATGAACCAGAGCACTATTCTTATGGTAAGGTAGCTTTTAAGTTTCCCTGTGGATAAAGAGCCTGATGAGAGGTGAGGACAGAGATGACTTTTCTTCAGGAAAACAAAACAAATAAACAAACAAAACATAAACCCTGATTTGTAGCATTTGCCAATTTCCATGGTGTAAATGCTCCCATCATGGCCAATTTCAAATTATTACTATAAAGCTGGGCATGGCAGTGTATGCCCGTAATCGCAGCAATTGGGAGATCTGAGTTCAAGGCCAGCTTGAACAATTTAGCAAGACCCTATCTCACAATTTAAAACACATAAAAAGGTCTGGGGATATAGCTTAGTGGTGAAATGCTGCTAGGATCAATCCCCAGTGCTGCAAAGAACATACACAAAACAAAATTCAAACTCAAGTTACTATGGTGATGTTCTTAACTAAGAAGAGATGCAGGTAAAGTAATATACTTAACATAATCTGTTCTTTGCAGTGGATACAAGGTGTCTCCAAAGCTCTCTAAAGGACGACCTGAAGCTTCAAACCCTGATTTAACCAGCATAGTCATCTTTCTTCTGTTTTGTTGGTTTGTCCCAGGGTTTCAGGGTTTCTCCAAAAGTTTTTTGTTTTTAGTGTTTTGTTGTTGTTGTTGTTGTTTGCTTGTTTTTGTTTTTTGATTGTTGTTGTTTTTAGTGGAGGAGATTAATTTTTGAGTTTATAAATCAGTTGCTCCTTTACTAATCCCATATATACATGTTCAAAAGAGTCATTGAATAAAGTATATTCAGTAACAACTACCTCTTAATTGTCTGTACTAAGATGAAGCTATGATTAAAGCAACTTCAAAAATATGATATGTCCTTGAGTATGGTATCAGTGAGCCTTCTGGAAATGAAATACTGTGAATGGAATAATGGGAGCCTTTCACTTGAAATGGGATTTGGAAGTTGTTCAGCATTTCCCCCCTCCTCTTTTCTTTTGTCATCTTTAATTTATCCAACTCCTCAACTTGAGGAACCCTTAAGTGGCTATTTCAGTTCTTTCTTTTCCTTGCATTATACAAAATAAACAAATGTTTTATTCACCTTCTTTTGAGCTGTGAGCATAAAGGAGAGACAATTTAAAAGAATATTGTGAATACTATGATATGATGCTACCAATATGACTATGACTTTTAAAATTGTAATATTTTGAGAAATAAGCAGCAATTCTCATATTTTTCCCAAATTAAAAGTTAATGATTCTACATAAAATACATATCAATGATTTTTTTCTTTGAGATGCTGGAAAGGGAACTAAACTCAAGCCTCTTAATTTTAAATAAATAGTCTCCTTAAATGTACGAAAATAATTTTCCTATTGAAAAGAAAAAACTTACAGCAGGATAATTTAAGACAATGATAAAATAAATGAGTAAGTAATACATTACAAATACACTCTAGTAACATAAAAATAAAGTGAATCAACAAATAAAAATTACATGGGGTGAATATCTGAAAAAATATTGTTAAAGGGAATTTCAAGTTAAAGTAAAAAGAAAAAAAAGTTTTGTCAACAAAATAGTATGCTAGCTATCTTTTTTGATTTAAATCTTTCCTGTCCTCCAAAATTTATAATATTATTCTAAGAAATGCAGAAATATTGGAAGATTATATTTCTCTTGAATATCAACTGAATAACATCTTTCAAATGATGTTCTATATGACATGTTACAGATTGAGACACTAATTGATATTCTAAAAAGCAGCATAATTATAGCACTGGTGAAAAACAAACAGAAATTTTTTAACCAAGTCCCAGAAAAAAGTTCAAAACTGGTCTACAAATGCACTGTTTATAACTCAGTTGGAGAAATTAGTCTTAAATCTATCCTTTACTATTATTAATATTGCATGATACAGAAACATCCACATGCTTCAAAAACAGGTGATTTCTTATTAGAAAGTTGAATATGGTTTAAAAGTTCTAATTTGCATGTTGTTTTATACTATATAACCATTTTATTTGAATTATACTTTCACCTGTATTGTAATTATCTGCTTATACATACCAAACATTTTGTCTAAGGAAAATATAAGACATAATTATTAATTAAATACATGCCTAAAATTTGAAATATCTCCCTGTTATCTCTAAATTAATTCTCATATGGTTAGTCCTCATTAAAACAGATGAGATTTCTTAATACATGAAACTGTTGTGAAAATCAATTACCATTCAAATTCTTAGGTTTCCACTGAAAAGTTACCACTTTCAAAGTTACATTTACTATGCCATTATAATTATGAAAATTCTTTCCTGTATGCCTTGCATAGTTATTCTGAAATCTTAATGAGATCTTGTTAGAAATAGCACTTACAAAAAATATACAGAGCACTCTGTAACACATATGACATATTAGTTAAATCCCAAATCAGAGAATCCTTGAGCTGAAAAATTATAATGAGCATACCTAAGTCTCTACTTATATTTAGTAAATGTCAACATGATATTCAGATCTTGTTCATTTTTTTTAATGCATGATGACAAAGAAACTTTCCTGGATACTTACAGTTCCAGGGCGAGGGTATGGAATTCTCCCCTGATAGGAAATCAGCTGATGATTGGGCCCTTCTTTGTGGGCAAAAGGCCCATTAAACACAGTCTGTATATCAGATAAATGATACACACACACGGCTGAACCTTTAAAAACTGAGCTGTAAATAAAACAGAAAGAGTCCACGTTATTTTTATAATGTATTATAATTTGAAAACAATGGTAAAGTTTGTGAAAAAAGGTTTATATAATTCCTCATGGAAAATTTGAACACTATGGTGCACATGTGTGAAGATGAAAAACTACTGTTTTGAAATAAGGTATTGATACATAAAGCATTAAAATATTTAATCTATCCATGAAAGTAATGGATATTAATAAGTTATTGAAAAGTTCTCATTGTTTCTGAAAAAATAGGATAAACAAGCTTCTAACTAGTTTATCTTAAATACCACCAAAGATTTACTAATAATTTTGTTTAAAAATATTAATGTGAATTATTATTTAAATGTGAGAGTGTTCTCACATGCTATCCTGAATAGTAGTTGAAAAAGCCTAACTGGTCATTATTTATACTCTCCCTGCTATTCACACATACAGAAAAAGGGGATCTAAGAAAGATTTATTAAATTTCCTTTAGTCAATAAAAATATCCTAAAATTTATTTGAATCCTTACTACGACAGATTGACTGAAACCAACACTTCTCTGACTCACATATTTATTTGAAATTAGATGCCCAGTGGAAAAAGTATTGTGTTCCTATGAAAATAAAGAAGATACATCATTATTCAGTAGCATTAATAGTCTAAAATTATAATTTTGAGTTTTTCAATATTAGAGCTATTGAGTATTAGGAAAAAAATAACTAGGGAACTGTTCTTCCTCTAATTAAAATTTCTTAAGATTTGGTTATCCTTTTCTTTGTTCAGTTTTTAGTGAGTTAAACTACTTCTTTGCTTGACAAAGAGTTTAAGCACATCTTGAAGGACATCGTTTTTGGACATCTTAGGAGGCAAACATAAATTATTTAAAATAAATATTTTTGCAATTTTCTTTTCCTTTTAATAGCTCATGGAAGTTTAAAATTATACCATGATTTAACCCTCTTAAAAAAGAATGCTAAAACCATTAGATCTTTGTTTTGTACTTGACTTCTGATAAAAAGGACTGACACATCCTGCATTGGTTAAGTAGTCACAGCTGGAGTACAAGGCTGAAGTCAAAGTAACATCTCTAGTTTAAAGTTAATAAACAGGAATATGTGCAGGAAAGAGTGAGAATATGAGAAACTCTTGAAATATTTAATAACTGGTATGGGCATCCCAAAAAAACCTAGGAAACGGTAAGTCTATTTGGAAATATATAAAACTATGTCATATTAACATAAAAACCGTTTTCCATTTTTGTTAGTTTCTAAATATTTGTCACCATATTGTTGCAGAAAATTATTTTGATAGAAATGACAAAGTTTTCCCAGATTTACTAAAGTATAATTGGATACAAAAAAACTGCACATAATTAATGTATGCAATTTGGTGATTCTGGGCCTATGTCAACACCTGTGTTACCATGGCCACCATCCTGGTAAGAAATATATCCATTGCCTACAACAACAATGCCAAAAGTCTTACTGGAATCATGAGTGTTGAGATTATTTTCTCAAAAATAAAGTAATGTTATATATTTCATTTCTACAGTGTCATTCATATTTTCATTTCTTTGAGAAGATAGCTTATGATCATTACAAGTACTCTGTAAAGAATATTTTGAAAATATTTGTTTAGATCAAACATGTTTTGGTAATCTGGAAAAAGTAAATAAAATGGGAGGACTGCATCCAAAATACTATGGAAACATAAAAGGTGAAGAGAAGAATGCTTTCATAATAATAATACTGTTCAATAAAGTTTAGTGTTAAACTCACAAAATATAATTTTTTAATGATTACCTTGATGTTGTAAAAATGCCATACACTAGTGTTGTCCTTGGATTATCAGTTTCCAGCAGAAACACATCCTCTATAAAATGGAAAATGTTATTCTTTTAAATTTCCCAAATATTAATTGCTTTTGTTTCAATTATTTTAAGAAAACAGAAAATTTCAACTATCAAAAGTACTATGAAGAAAAATATTCCTGGATCATTTTTTATAATTTGGAAATAACTAAATGGTAAACATGTGGTAAATTAAATGTTACACACACACTAAAGGGATTTCTGAAGACTGAGTCTCTCTGTGGAAACCATGCTAACAAAATAATATTAACTGGAAAAAGACACAGTGGTATATAATAAAGATTATAATCATGTAAGCCATAAACTATATACCAAAATAGAAGAAAAGGTTAACGATGAATGTTCCTGACATAGCAAAAGCTAAGGAAATCTTCTTGTTGATTCTTAGCTTCTGTAATTTTCTAAACATTCTTTAATGATTAAATATTAGATTTTTAAATTAAAAAATATTACAAATTTTAATTTGTTTTTAACCTAGGGTAAGAGATTAGAATATGAAAAAAATCATAGTGACTTTTTAATATAAAATATTATGGCCAAAATTGACTGTGATATTTTTATTTAACGAAGCATTCCTCTATAAGACATTTAAAATATATTAAAGCAATGAGAAAGGTATGCATATCAAAGTACAGTAGTCAGTAACAACACGAAATTAAATTTCTGATAGAAAATCCCAATTAATAATCAATTGCAATGAAGCTTGGTTTTAGTGACAATTTTACAAATATGATACTTGCTGATGAATATAATAGATGCATTTATTATAATTAATAACGAATTTATAATTTTCCAATAAATAAATTAATAAGCACTAATATTTCTATATGTGAATAAATGCTGACAATGTCTAGCTCTTGTCAAAAGAATAACACTGAAGCATGAACACTTGCAAATAATTTGGAGTAAAATAATGAGTGATCAGACTACTTCACAAAATGATACTTAAGAATTTTTTGTAGAAAAGTTGATACAGAAAATATTGTTGGCATGACCAACTAAATGAGTTTTGGGAAGAAGAACTATTTCAATTTTAAAACTACTAGAACCACTGAATTTTTCTATATTGTAATAGAGTTTGTTATTTATCTCATCACCTGCCTCATAATATGAGAATAATCAGAGTTTACATTTTAGTGAAGACAAAAGAAAAGGTCATTTAAAATGGCTCTTATTAAAAATAACATCAGGATGCATACAAAGTTACTTCTTTTAAAGAGAACTGTTCCTTGGTAGAAAGGAATCAGAGCGTTCATTTTATTTGACCTTAAAGTATACTCCTCCTTATGTCATGCCTGGGATACTTGGTCTCAAGGTCAACAGCACAGCTAAGATGTGAGCACAAATCTATTTTCTACTCTTCTCTTTTCTACACTTTTCATTCAAATTCTTTCTGTCCATTGAGCTACAACTGTAAAAATGTGTATCTGTATTCCTATCAAACTGATCTCAAATCAGAATACCAGATACTCTAATACATGAAATACATATTCATTTGCAAAAATCCAAACATATCATTACCTATACAGAAATCATATAGGTACACCCCCACGTTTATGCATATACACACATTCATTCACATATTATAAAACTAAATGTTTCATCAATGCCCTTGAGCAAACTAGATTAAGAAAATACTTAAGAAAATACTTAAAGAAATTTATGAATGTTATCCACATCATGGTTCAAATTGGCACATTATTTATGCTGAAAAGATCCATGGAAGATTCACCCTTTCCTGAAAGGCTATTAAAATATATGAACCTTACAAGTTCTCCGTCAGAAACATTGTTCAATCTCACACCTAATTACCTAATTCATCGAAGTGTGTTTCTGGGCCATCTTCATCTGTGACTGAACATACCAGCCGCGCTTTTAAGAAGGTGGTCCACTTGTTGACAAGGCTACGCAGCCCACCAGTGTCATTCTAAAATCATTTTGAAACATAATTTAGATTTCTTCAGAAACTAATGAAGTGCATTATAAATTCAACATGGACTCTGATTACTTCAGGATTTATTATAATCTGAACAATGGGAATGTTAACCATATTTGTCCATTAATAAAGGAAAATATTTAAGATTTATAGTACCTTATAGAATAGCTATAGTTTGTCTATATTCCCTTACAATATGGAATCTTCTAGATATTAATAAATTAGAATAATAACTTATGTCCTGACTTTAACAATTATATATTCATAAAATGTATGTAGAGTGAATAATTTTAATTTGATTTTTCTTGATAACACACTGTCTTTGATATAAACAAACTTTATTGTACACAGTGAGAGTTGGAAATTCTGTTATAGTTAAGACAGTGGATATATCTTTATTTCAAATGGTCCCATATAATTCTGTTTTTCCCCATTCATTTTTCTGCATGGTCACTTATTGTTTTTATCAGATGCTTGACTACACACATTTCTCTGACTGAGGCAGCAGGAATGGCATTTGGACCATTCACAAATAGTTTCTACTATTGACATTTTTTCCTACATCTAAATGACTTTTGCTTTTTCTTCTGGCTTTCCTCTCTTGTTCCAAATGATTGAGAAACAGCTGAGTCCTGATCAGTAGAATATATGGAGATAAATTTAATACTAGAGAAATACTTTTTTCACAAAAGTATACTACTAAAAGTGAGTGTAATATTATAAAATTTCAATGAGAGGACATTATGGATTTTTTTGAGTGCTATGTATACTGTTGATACACAGAACATTTTGTTTACTCCATAATTAGAACTGCATTTGCTCAAGCATTTATTGATTTTCAGTATTATAGACAGTTCCATAATAACTTTTGTTGAGATTCAATTGAATTTTATTCATAAGAATTGTTTTGTTTCTTTTAAAATAGATTATGAAGCTATTTGTTTGAATATTAATATATTGAACGGGTATGCAAAAATTAGTCAAAACTGTTCATTTCTATAAATCCGCAATCCAAATATTTCTCTGATGATGTTTACTGAAACTGGGCATATTTATCTCTTGTGGCTGACACAAATAAACTTAATATTAAATGTCTTTTCTCAGTATTTTATTTGTAAAAGTTGATTTAAAATATAAATAAACTATTGGGAAAATATTTACATATTTTGGAGACTTTCTTCAAATTAAATAATACTTACAGGACAAATTCTAGCAATCATGGAATGAATCTGTTTTGTGCTCCTGTTATTGTCAGTCAGCTTTTCTTTGAAGAAGAAGTACACCTTAGCATCATTTGGATCAGTTCCATCAGGAATGACATGTGCATCCACAAACATCGGTTCTGGAAACAAATAGAAAGACTATATATACTCATGATGAAAACCCATCTACTTTTCTTCCAAGGAGACCACAGGCACATGTCTTTCCCATCTTTGGTACAGAAGAATAATTCAATGTTCACAGACAAAATTTCAAAAACCAGTATTTATATTCACTCAACATACCACATCAGGAATGTCAAGTACCACAAAGTAGAGCTATGATAGCTCAAAGTATTTTTTTTTCTGTCTGCAATACACTTTAGAAATGCAGCAAATGCACAACTTCTTTGTGCACCAATGAGTTTCGAAAATTGAAAAACTTTTCTACTATTTATTTCCAATGGAATCTGATGGGTTGTTTTATTGAAAAAAAAAAGTTTGTTTTTAAAGTGCGGTTTTCAATCTAGTGCACATAAACACAAACTCATTGAAGTAGAATGAGGATTTGGGTCTCCAAATTCTGAAAAACACATTTTTTCTTAAAATACAGCAAATGAAATGAAGGAGAAACTTCTGAAGGAAAAATATATTCATTTGAAGACATACAGGGTTTCTTTTTTCAAGAACAAAACAACTTTTAGAATACTCTATTTCCAGATGTACTGGAAGAATAATTTGAAGAATAAAGTGAACAATCAATGCTTTCTTGTGCTATCAGTGAAATAAGATGCTTAACTGTGGTGATTCATGCTTCACTGAGCAATTCTAAGTGAAGAGACAAATTTAGAGTCAGCTAGAAATTTTCCTCAGGGGGAAATGACAAAGGTCTTAGTGGTTTCTTCCTCCTTTAAACAACAGCAACTGATTGGAATCATACAACAGAATCAAATGCACATTTTTTTTTATGTGAACTCCATATGACTTCAAGAATTGGAAACAGTTGAACAATGAGAATCACTGTTATCATATCTATGATTTCTATAAAATATTAGTGAAATTTGGAAAAATATGAATTTTATAATTTTTGAATCTAAACATAAAACAAATAGGTAGAATTCCTGAATATAACTTATCCATTATATCATTAATTTATGATGATTTTTACTTTAGGATTTATTAAAATGCATAAGCATTCAGATGAAAAAAAAAAGCATATTTAATTGTAATAAGTTACCATTCAATAGCTGGAGAACATGCTTGGCTATTGGCATGTATGATGAGTGTCACTATTGCTTTTAATTATTCATATTCCTATGACAATTATATGATGGTTAATAAGATAAGGAACTGCCCATTTATACTAAATATTTTAAATCACAGAGTACAGAATTATGATTGCTCATGACATGGCCTAACATTTCAGTTTATAACTATTCTTCTAGGTCCACAGAACTAATCTTAGTTTAAAGCAGGATACCAGAGGAAAAATGCTTAAGATGTTTTCTTACCACTCAGCCATTTGGAATTGTGTTGATCTGTTCTGACTGCATTCCTCTTGGTTAAACTTCGAAAAATAGCAGCATCTGTCCCCATGAAATCTATATACATTCCTGAGAAAAGCTCCTCATCTATGAAAACGTAAAACAATGTCAACAGAAACCTAAATTTTTTGAAGCTTTCTTAAAATTCAAGGAAAGTTTGTTAGTAGAGCATCTCAAATATTACAGAATGTTTGTAATGGTTAATTGGATTCCACTGTCTTTTGAATTAAAAAAATGGTAAATTTTAATCTGTTTTTATTATTGCCTTTATGATTAATGTATGTATACACAAATTTTTAAAAACTGAAATCTAAAATAAATTTTTCCTATCCGAAATAAAAATTTCTGTCTTTACTTAATCTTACTAATTACAAATTATATAATGTGTATCATAAATAGTAGATTTATTTTAAAATAGCTTAATTAATTGCTTTCCTTTTGTTTTTTTGTTTTTGGTACCAGGGATTGAACCCAAGGGTGCTTAAGCACTGAGCCACATCCCCAGCCCTTTTTATATTTTATTTAGAGAGAGGATTTCACTAAGTTCTTAGGGCTTCACTAAGTTGCTGAGGCTGACTTTAAACTTTTGATCTTCCTGCCTCGGCCTCCTCAGTTATTGGGATGACAGGTGTGCCCCACCATGCCCGGCCACTTTCTTCTAGTAAGTAAAAATAAAGCAGAAAACTTGGTTTCTAATTTTGGCAACCACTAACACACTGGGAATGAGGGATGAATCATTTAACACCTTGACTCTCAATCTTCTCATCTATAAAATATGAAAACTGGATTATGATCTTAAAATTGCCTTGAATATTAAAAAATTATATGATTTTACCAAATGCATTGAATACAATTGTTATTATTATTACTTGATGGCATGGGTCTATGTTAAAATTTTCAAAATAGTATTAATGATTAAAAGATTTATTCATTGAAAATGTATATTTTGACTTATAGGACTGGAAATTTCCTAGTAAAAACAGCATTTTTTCAATTGTAATTTAGTCATTAAAAAATAGAATATAGTGAGAATAAAGAAAATATATTCAAAAATTAAAATTATTTACTGTTATTAATAGTCTATTTAGATGTCTAATCTGTATAATCTACCACATTTAACTTAGTTTTGAAGACCCATATTACTTTTTATCCTAATAAGAGAAGTCAGCCTTGCACTGGTAAGAAAAAGAAGCAAAGCAATCCTTGAGTATAAAACAGTAGCTAAGAATCTATTTTAAAAAGAATCGCCTTTATGAAGTCTATCCCACTGAACTGCCATGCAGCAGTTCTTTGACTGATGTTCTTTGACTGATGTTCTAGGATTACTCTCTTGGCTACCTTCAGATTGTGGTCATTTTGGCAGGACTGGAACATTTAAAGCACTCTAAGCTCACTGTTTAGTAATAAGCAAGACTAATAGGACAAAGATAGAATGGAGGGTGGAATGTGTGGAATATGTGATCACCAGGTTATAAAATGGACCCCTACCAGTGAGCAAGCTGGTGTGGCAGGGCTTTTGCTCCCCAGGTCTCCTTCCTAGTAGGGACCCAGAATCCATGGAAACAGATTACATAGAGATAACAAAAATGTGCATGAAGGCCTTTTTGAGCAGTTCAACAATTTAAAATTCTAGGAACATTTGTATGCATATATACACATAGATTGACTGTTAAATTGAGATATCTTTCCCATTTTTGTTATAACCAATTTATCATAAACCTTGGATTATAAATTCCTGCTGTTCAACAGACTGATTAGCACAACTACTGATTACCATATATGCTTCAAGATAAAAAAGAAAAAGACACTCAAATATTGGTGTAAGGCTTATCTAATCCTATTATATACCATTTTAATAGTTATATCTCTAACTCTAAATAAGCTCATGTGTCTGGTTGGCTATACATTTTGTTTTAAATTTGCAGTTATTATAACAGGTTAGCAAAATTTTAATCATTTTTTATTACTAAGAAATATTTAGTTAATGTCACTTAGGAAGGAGTTTTGTCCAAGAGGAAGGTTTTATGTTTTTGTTTTTGTTTTCCTCAGATTTTTTTTAGGGTTCTATGCAAAGATAAACTTGTATCTTTTAGATTTTATCCAAATACATTATGCCTTCTAATTTTATCTCTGATTTAAAAAATCTTCATGGATTTTTGTTTTTTTTTTCCTTCATGGGTTTTTAATCATAGGTTCTATAAAAGTTAACAACTGACATCTCTGTTGTCCTATATCAATGACTAAAAATTGCAAAAGAATATTGAACTCACCACTAGTGTGATGTCCTATATTGTGACACTTTACATTCTAATTCTTAATGCTTTTTGGTATTTAATATATATAAGTGTTTTAGCCAGTCTGTATTATTTAGTGCATTGCAGTTGAATAGAAACAATAAAACCCTGTAACATGAGAAAAATGAAATGACCATGCAAATATTGGGGAAATTTTCACAGGAATAAATAAATGGACAAATAAAATTATAAATACAAGATTATAAAAAATCATATTTTATTTTTTATTTTCAATTTTTAGTTAAGCAAATTATTTAATGTCTTTCCTTGATAATACAAATTGTAATGTTAAAAATATTAAAGGATAATGTAGGAGCATGAGCACAAGAATTCAAAATCTGTCTTTGAAAAATCAAGAAAACCAATATCTAACTCTTATTTGTAAATAATTCCAATTGCCTAGGGCAAAACTATTAAAGGGCTTATGATATTTTATCAAGAAAATTTATATTGCAATATTCTAAGCATTTTTATTCTAAACAATATTCAATAAGATGAAACCCAATTATTACTATGTTAATGGATCTTTGAAATATATTTTCATAGACTTTAATTTGAAGTAAATGAAAACTATGTATTTATACAAACACACACACACACACACACACACATATATATATATATATATATATATATAAAACTACTGTTATACATATCATATAATTTTTATCTTGTATTCTAAAAGTAAATAAAATTTCAATACTAATGGAGAAAAGACTTTTCAAAACACTGTTATTATCAAATAATATTTGAAAACTTAACTGGAAATATTCTGCATCAGACATAATTAGGGAGTTATAGTTTCAAAGCTTTTGAACTTTTGTCCCATTGATATACTTTTGGCTTCTCCTTGCCCAGTTTGAATGACCATATGGAATTAATTTACTGGTTACTTTCAAGCTTACATTTAACTCAGTGCTTGGTGTACCTGTCTTAATTTAGTTACCAGATATCAGAAAGAAAGATGGGCTTCCTAAATACATGAATCAAGCAAAATCTGAACATAGTAATTATTTTTTCACCTGTTGCAGTGTCAAAGGATGGAATTTTACTACTGGTAATACATAAAGAAATCAAAGAGGAAATGTCATATTCTATACAATCACATACTGAAATCTAAGATTTGTCATATCTTAGATTATAAAAATGTTTTAATTAACCAGAAGAGAATGTCTTTTAAGTGGGTCACGGAAAGCCATACAATGATGGATGTTCAAAAACAATTTGTTAACATTGTATATATTGGCAAGTGATTGGATCGGCTCTTAACTGACATTTTCTTAAAAGTAAGAAAATGGAAAAAGAACCACCAACTCCTTTTAGTAATTTTTAAGCCAATTCTCAGAGATGTCTTTGGCTAACAAATTACTTTATTCTCCTTTAATTTGAAAGAAATACCATATTTAATTATTTATAAAAGGACTACTAATACATGCAAAAAGAGGATATACTTAAACTAGTAAAACAAGTAAAGAAAAAAATCAAAAACTATTTTGAATTAATGTTAATATCATGTTAGCCTTCTTTATTATTTTATTTCCCTCTTTTATTTTTTACTTACTGATCATAACAGATACAGTGTTCACATTGGGGTTGAAAGAGCATCGTCCTTTTCCAGATTCACACTTGGAGTCAATCATGAAAACTTGGTCCTTTGTTGTAGATAAAACAGAATATGATAATAACATTATAAATATAATGAGATATAATAAGAACAAGTTATTTAGTCAAAACAGTTGTTCTTTAGAAAAACAAAGCCTCATTAAAAACAATATGCTTTCTACTCGGTTGCTTATGCCTTCCCAATTTACTACAGTAAGACCTACTTGTCCTATAAAAAGAATCCATCTGTAAATTAGAAGCTAACCTCAGCAGGTCTGGCTCGAAACCTATTACATTTCCCATAGAGCTGATCCAAGCAGGTGTTCTCCTCAAATCAACATCACCAAAAATCACTTGAAAATCAAGGATCATTATAAATTTGACTAGATGTGTTGAACTATAGCCAGAAGAAGAAAATTATCCACAGAAGAACAATGTAGGTAAGGACTGAAGTATTTCTAAAATTATCAAGACATTTTTTAGAAAAAATAAAATTTTATGTTGCCACTTAATTTTGTTCTATAGAACACTTTATAAGATTCAAATTAACTAATAACAAAATTAAAATAGGTCATGAAGTCATTCATTTTTTTAACAAAAATGTATTGAGCATTTCCCTTCTGCCAGATGCTTGTATTGGAGATACAATAACCAAAATACACAAAACTTTGCCATCAAAGATTCTGACAAGAGTATCCTGAAGGAGGAAAAGAGAAATTAAAGAGAAAAAAATATATAAGAAAAATATAGAGTATGTTAGATGGTGTCCAGTGCCTAAAAACAAAATTAAGCTGATAAAGGAAGTTGGGAAGACAAGAAATAAGGGACAATAGGTTTAATATAAAATATGGATGTCAGCGAAGCCTTGCTTAGGGGGGACATCTGGTAGGTACACAAATTTACCTTTATTTTATATAAATTTAGCACAAGCAACTAATAGAATTCAAAGGAATAAAAAGTTCACTTTTGTAGGCTGCTTGATGAATGACCTTAGTTATTAAGTTAAGGTTTTTGAAAATTATTCTGAAAAAAGAGACCCATTATTATTACTTTTTGCATATGAAAAACAAAGAATCAAAACTCTGATCCAAGAAGGTTTGATGGTATCTTGAACAGTATGAAGAATGGAAGTAGAATTTACAATGGATTAAGGAAAATATTTTATTTGCAAAGGTCTGAGAATTAGACGATAATCTGACATGTCAATGGTCATGGTAAGAGCAGTAGAGATGTAAAGAATTTGTATAATCAACAGAGAGTGGCAATCAATTAGAAATTGGATATCATTCAAGAAGATTAAAAAATATAAAAAACAACCTGAAGTTTTGATTCCTTAAAAAAAAATAAAACTAGTTGATTTTTGTTAAAATGAGTTTGATATACTGTTGGACATCCAGGAGGCAACAGGAAATTATAAAGCTTAGAAGAAATCATAGTACTCTAAGCTTAAAAACATGATTCTCTTCAGTGGATTCATGCTAGACATGATGACAAGATTGCTTTCCCAGCCATATTAGTTAGAGGGGTAGAAATCAACTTCAGTCTCCTAGTTACATCTGCTTTCCAAATGAAATAATTATAAATATGAGGAAAAACAATAAAATTTAGAAAGCCTAATTTTGTTTTAGAGTCAGAGACAGGTTTCAGTAATAAGTAAGAGTTGGCACTGTAGGAATTGATTAGATTTTTCAGGTACCATTTACACTAATATATCCACTAAGACATGAGAAGAACTATTTGTTTTACTTTGAGGCCAAACCTTGCTTTGAATTTCATCTTATCTTCAAAGTCACCTTGTATTTTTCTTATGTTCTTTCTGTTTTTTTTTTAAATATATACTTTTATTTTATTAACTGAATCCTTTATATTATCATCTGAACTACCCTTTGGTTCCTCTGGATCACAAATGTGGACCCTATTTTTCAAAGAATTACACACATACTCATCAACGTTTCTGATTTTTCACCTTCTTCTCAATTTACTTACATTGTGTTCCAACCTCAGTTGTTCTATGGAACAATTTTTGATGAGATCTTCAATGACAATCATAGTATACAATTGCCTGAACTAGTCTGGAGGGCTCAGTGATCTCCCATCTCCCAAGTACTTGGATTAAGAAACAACACTTTTCAAACTTCATCTCACTTGGGTTCTCAATAGTTTCCAAAATTGGTGACCACTTCTATCTTTTTAAAATAACTTATTTTTCTTCCTAGGACCAACACATTCTTGTTTCTTCCCCTTCTTCTCTGCCGGCTTCTTTGAAGTTTTGTTTTCAAGTCCATATTCCTCCATGTGGCCATTAAAGTTAGTAGATCATCAAGTCTCCAATGCAGCCATTCTCACGCTACACCTTCTCTGCTTGATTAAACTAACGCTTTTATTGTATCTAGTTACTCTTATAAAACATTTTTCACACATCTTTATATCAACCTCACATTCTCCTATACACTTCATAGTTCTAATTGGGTCTTTCTGTGGCATCTCAGACTCAACAGACCAAACTCAGACCATAATCTTTACCCCTAATTTGGTCTCTTCACTGTTTGTTACCTCAGTTCATAGGAACGAACAATTAAAGCTGCTGAAAACAACAACAAAAAGTTGCCATCAGCATATATTTTCTTTTCCATATTCAAATTCTACCAACATCACCTATACTACTCTGTAATTTGTGCCTCTTGGTCTCCATTGCCACCATCTGAATACAATAATCTCTTTCTTGGAATGCTACATCAACTCTCTATATCAATTAATCTCCCCAGACTTCTTCCAACCTCACCCTTCACACCCTAAATAATTTGTAACATGACAACAGAATTCTGTTTGTGCCATTTCTGCTATTTTTTGCCAGTTCATGCCATTTCGTGCCAGTTACTTCTTTGATACACACAGAGAAAAACCAATCAATGTCTTCAAGTTAGCCTATGAATTCTGACATTATTTTAATTCATTTTCTTTAACTAAATAGCATTTGTGGTTTGAAACAATAAGAGAAATGGGGCCAGAATGTAAATAGGTAGTGAAAAATAAGAAAGCATAACAAAGTATACCATGCTCATAGACACTGACAAATACGTTGAATAATATATTTATTTTTTTCCAAGAGTTTGTTATAGATTAGTCCAGGAGAAGGCATACTGACAGAGTCAATTTGGCCATTGGGGAATCTTGGTCATTATTCAAAGACTTTTTGTTAATGTGTGTACTTGAAATGAAAGTTATATTAGCAAATATTTAATAAAGATATGGAGAACTGGAACTTAAAACTGGAAATACAGCCCAGAAGTCTGAGAAGCTTTGTAATGAAGAAAAGGAAGAAAAGGGCGGTGTTGAATAAAATTGGTGATTTTAAGGAAAAGGCACATAGTCCTATTTTTAAACTGAAAAAAAAAAAAGTAAATTCAGGGGAAAGGGAATGAAAATATGAAACAGTGAATGAAGAATACTGATCAAAGAACTCTTATTGATAAAGAAAGTGCAAAACTTTTCTTCTAAAACAGGAGAAAAGCTATAGAAAGGATGCCTGAATGAACTAGTTTGGCGATTGGTCTGCTTCAACAAGCACAGGAATAGGATGCCTGTGATATTGTTGATCAGTCAAAGGTATCTGTATGAGCTTCAGTGGTATTAAATTATTGAAATAGATGTTATAGAAATATCTGATGAAATCAGCCAGAGATGAAATGTGTTAATATTTCAAAATTTTTCAGCCAAATTACTAATAGCTATTTTTTTTCTTCATGTTTTACTCATTAGTTCGACACCATAGTTTACTTGTGTTGCTTTATCTTTTTTTATCTTTTTTTCAGGAACAGAAGATAGGATTAAGGACAAGGGATAGAAGAGAGAACCATGGCTAGGTCTCCATGTAGCAAGGATTCTAGGCTCTTTGGATGAACACTGTTGAAATGTTCTAGGACAGCTCTGAATCAGACTGAAAATAATAGGAGAGTGAGAAGTTATAATGAAATTGTAGAAGAATCCAAAACTGAGGTAGGCTCATAAAATATGCTCTTACAACCAATGAATTTCTGTGAAGATGGGCAGCTGAAATGGAAGGTGATTGATGGCTCTAAAGCAAAACTGAAGGATTAACAACTGCAGACCTAACCTTTTCAAGTTGGTTCTGAATACATGAAAATTGTGCTATCTTAATATTAACACAGGGTGTTAGCAGTGGTTCCTACCCCCATTCATTACAAAATACAAAACAAACTATGAAGAAGGAGAAGGAGAATTTTCTCAAAATACAATGTTGTTCATCATGTGATAATTTTATGATAGGAGATCCTTCATCTCAGAGGAAACAAATATCCAATTTTTGATAAAGTTTTGCAGTACTTTACTCACATTTTAATTTATATGCTGTACTTATATATCAACAATGCTATGGTAAGCTTTTTGACTATTACTATAAGGCAAAGGTGATTGTTAAGGTAAAGATACAAAGCTTAAAAATCCTAACTCTTTATATACCTAAATTGTCCCTCAAAGTGTTCATATATTACTTGAGAGACAGAATTAATTCATGGAAAAGCTTCCCCCATGGAAGCCTGTCTTGAAGTGAAGCTAAGGTAGCAAAGTGATTAAAATTTATTTCATGCTGGTTTTCCAGAGAAGATCATTTTTTTAAAACAGACTTTCCAATTAAGACTTGAAGTTATAGTAGACAATTTGTATATGGAAAAATGATTTTATTCGAAATCTGTGCTCTGAAACTGTTACAGGGTGGTTGGTTTGTACAGTGACTGCATGGACTTCGAGGCGTGTCTGACAGATTGCAGACATGTGATCAGTAGTTTATTTAATCAATTGATCACAGGCATGTGGTCCTCATGACTAGCTCAATGCAGCCAACTGTATTCTTCCAATAATGCATAACTTTATTTTTGCTTTAAGAATTTTAATATTTCATAGCATCTTGAATGATATTTGGAAAAGTCTCTATTGGGGATTAAATTACAATTATTCAGTTGTTTTTAAATGACTTTTTAAAAAAAGATGTGTGAATCACATATCTGAAAAGGTAATTTAATAATAAGGGAACAGTGAAGGATTGTTGTTCAATTTTATTAGTATTAAAGTAGATTAATTCTTATTAAAAGAAAATATACTTTATGAAGCATATGAGTAGAAATATTTATTTTTTTCATAAACATACTCTCTAAAATTGAATTAAGTCATTATTTAATAACTGAATTTTTTTAAAAAATTAAGCTCCATAATTAAACTAAATAAAGATAGTTTGAAAGAATTCATTTTTAATAATAATATTAAATAAAACAATGTGCTTGAGTAAAAGAATAAAGAAAAATTCTTTTGGTGTAATGCATAGCCTCCTTAGTCAACAGTTGTTGACTAAGATAATAAACATAGTCTTAAATATCACTGTTGAAGTTCAACCAGCTTGATATTTGACTATATGGTGGGAATATATTTGACTAGTGTATAGCAAACACCATATCATAATGCCCCATGTCATTTTAACTAATGAAAGAACAGGGCAAGCACAGTCTAGTGTAAAGCAATTTTAACCTTGAATTAAAGGATGATTTATTAATGTGTAAGTTATTCAAAAACATTTGGCATCTTGCTTTATACATATCTTACAGATATGCATCACATAAAGATTTACTGAACTTGAATGATAAATAGAAATTATTTAAAATATATTTAAGAAAGTAAGTTTATATAATGTTCTATAACTTGGAGCAAGTATTTTCAGTGCTTTACATTTAAGAAATTATGAAATTTTGCCTTTTCCTTTTGTCTTCTATAGCTTTTACATTTAGAAATAAAAATAAACATGTATATACATACATATATATATATATACATACATATATATATATATATATATATATACATACATATATATATATATATATTTCTTTTTTTGAAGTTGTAGCCCAAAGACTATATAGCTAAACTAACTTGGCAGACAAAAACAAAATTTAATATACTTTGTGTTTTAAAAAGCATAAAACCACTTTAAGGACATTAATATTTCTGAACTTTTACTCTAAAATACCACTTTAAACATCTTTGACAATAGCATCAAAACTAAGAAATATTGTGAGGGCCACATTAACGTCATTAATGTTAGCTTACCTCTGACCTCCTCCCTCTGTTCAGGTAAGTGCAAACTGGGCTGAAAGCGCCACTGCCACAGACATACAGATGAGTGCGGTTGAAAGTCTGAATTACACGGACAAAGTTCCCACAGCCATGCTAGAAGAAGTGGTAAACATGTACTTAGTAATTAGTGACTTCTGTTAAGTCTACCAGCTGCATTCACTTTCTTTTTCTTTTCAAACTTGTTATATATGACAGCAGAATGCATTAGAATTCATATAACACATACAGAGCACAATTTTTCGTATCTCTGGTTGTATACAAAGTGTATTCACACCATTCGGGTCTTCATACATGTTCTTAGGTAATGATGTCCATCTCATTCCACTGTCTTTTCTACCACCATGTGCCCTCCCTTTCCCTCCCCACCCCTTTGCCCTATCTAAATTTCATCTAATCCTCTCATGTTCCACCTCCCTACCTATGAATCAGGCTCCTTATATCAGATAAAACATTCGGCATTTGGTTTTTTGGGATTGGCTAACTTCACTTAGCATTATATTCTCTAACTCCATTCATTCACCTGCAAATGCCATGCTTTTATTCTCTTTTAGTGCTGAGTAATATTCCAGTGTGTATATACACCACATTTTCTTTATCTATTCATCTGCTGAAGGGCATCTAGGTTGGTTCCACAGTTTAGCTACTGTGAATTGTGCTGTTATAAACATTGATGTGGCTGTGTCCCTGTAGTACACTGTTTTTAAGTCCTTTCAGTATAGAGCAAGGAGTGAGATAGCTGGTTCAAAAAGTGGTTCCATTCCCAGTTTTCCAAGGAATCTCTATACTGCTTTCTGTATTGGCTGCACCATTTTGCAGTTACCCACCACCCCCCCCCCCCAGCAATGTATGAGTGTGCCTTTTTCCCCATATCTTCAACAACACTTATTGTTTTTTGTATTCTTAATACCTGCCATTCGGACTGGAGTAAGATAGGTAACAAGGTGACATCAAATTTCTATATATTGTTCCTTATCTTTGAGAAACTATGTGTACACATAAAGGTAATTTAAAAATACTTATTTAAATTGTGTAAATCCAAAATTAAATATTGAGATTTGATGCCTGAAAAAAAAAATAAGCAGTGACTCAGGCATAGGGACAGAAATGTTACAGAAATTGGACCTCAACTAATATTGACTGAGTAACAACAGTAAATCAAGTTATAGTCTAACTTTTTGGTTAGTAAATTAACAATGATGAAATCATCATTCAATTATTTTAGTAAAATAGTATTAGTATATTGCTAATATACTAGTGTTGTTAGTATCTTTTGTATAGAAATATTACAAAAACAATACCTTGCCTACTATTTGCTGAGTACCAACTGTGAGCCAAGTTATAGTCTAAAATTTGGGGCATTTTCAGTGAACAACACAGGCAAAGATCACTACACTGTAGAACTCCAATGAACAAAGTTGCCATACATGACCTGTTTTTGCTATTTTTATTTAAATCTCTACTAATTTTAGCAATTTATATAAAAATGCTGTCAAATCTGTAAATGTCAGAGCAAAGTAAATATAATTTAGACAAACTTTGGTATACCTTTTTCTAACTTTTTTGGTTATTACTGTCAGAAAATATTTGAGGAAATAATAAAAGAACAAAAAGGTTTAGTCTGTTGATTTATCTCATGAAAGTGCTACTTTACCTCTGATACTGATTTACTATATGTTTTCATGTTTCAAAACATTATAAACTTGCTTTTTACCTGAGAAAGTTAAGAAATAGGGATGTGCAAAGTTTTTTTTTTTCCTTAAAACATTAAACACACACTCTGCAAACCCATTTTGATTGAAATTGTTCTTATTCAGGTTTCATATTATTGTGAGAACAAAATAACAAACACTATTGTCCTTTGCAATTGGCAGATTACACTAACCTGTAAGAAGGTGGAATCATTTTGCTTTCTATGAATAATGATATAATCATTCTCTCTACCCTTGGTCCCCTAAAATATTCCATTCCACTCCCCAAAAAGCCCTTTCTCACTTGCTTCCAGTTCAACTAATGCAAGGCTTTCATTTATTCATTCAGTGAAATATAACACGATTATTTTAAATTTAAATTGACAGTGACCTTGCAGGAGTCCATAGATTCTCTGTGGCCAAATGAAGCTTTGAATATTCCACACTTTCTAGACTCACTATCCTTTGCTGATTACAAATGAATAAAGCCTGGGATTGAATGCTGTTCCCTTCACAAAGTCATTTTACTCTCAAAAAGATTATTGAAAATAATTTTATCATTATAGACAGATTTTTTTAAAATAAAAGACTTATAAATAAATACAAAAAAAGTAAACAGTAGTTTTCTCTGGGTAGTCAGACAACAAAAGTTGCTCTGTTTTTCTCTTTTAAGTATGGTCCTGATTTTTTACAACACAAACCTATTATTTATATCTCAAAGAAAAACAAAATTTTACTCTGATAGAAGTTGAATTTAAAGTTGATATCATTTCATACTTTTTCATCATTTTTCTCTCATATTCATTATTACTTGTCAGCAAATACATATGTCTTTCATATGTAGTAATTTTATACAGATGTTTCTATTATAGATTTTTAATATTAAATAATCAATCATTAACTCTACCATCAAAGAAAATAAATCCTTACAGATCAGACCGTACATTTATTTTTAGGTTAAGACGTTAAGAATTTTTGTTAACTATACAGTGTTACTGTATCTTGACACCTGTTTATAGAGGTACCTGGGAACTGATTACATAAGTACAGATGATAGCAAGTTTTCCTGGAGAATGAAGTATAGATAAAGTATGGAATGTATATAATATGTCTATATTAAGGAAATCTGTGAAAAATGAGTCTTGTGCTTCTAATGCGATTTTAAAACATATGTATGTCTAATATTCAAGTCAAGTTTAGTCACTTTGGGATTCTGTATATAATACTTTCCCGTAAGACATGAATTCAGTTCAATCCTATTAAAATCAAAGTATAGCTGTCTCATCTTGGGTTTTATATATAATCTATTTTCATGAATCATTGGTATTATAAAAAAGAAATAGTAATGCCTTTGTGTATTTCAAATGAAAGAATATACTCATTTTATGACTATTTTTTCATCTACTTATTAAAGCTAATATTTTTGAAAGTTTACTATGTGATAGACATAGAAATAATCATCTTATATATGTTATCATTTTTATGTCCCAGGAGGTTTGATCTTTATGACTGATATTTATTGGACACTTATTAAATGTTATGTAGTCATTTTACATGAATACATTCAATTTTTTATACCAATTTAGTCCCTTTTAGGATAATAAAACTTGGAAGACGTTTTTAAATTAAAATTTTATTTTAATTTCATTTTTTTGGTGATTGTAGTGGGACAGAATGCCTTTACTTGTTTATTTTTATATGCTCCTAAGGATTGAACCCAGTGCCTCACACATGCTAGGCAAGTGCTCTGTCACTGAGCTACATACAGCCTCAGCCCCAATGATTTTTAATTAATTTGGCCTGAGATCATACAAGTAGAAACTATAAAATTGATCTTCAAACACATGTATATCAAATATTGAAACCTATATTCTTAGCCAATTTATAATTTGTATTTGGGTGAGAATACATAGCTGCTATTATAATAGTTATTAGTATTTATTTGAATTTTTATGGCTTTTATAAGTGCTATTTATATTTACACAGGATTTAATCCTTAGATGTGGGCTACTTTAACTCTCACAAATATGATCTGAATCTTAGTACCCCATTTTAGCAACTATGAAATTGAGTCACAGACAGATGAAGTGTTCTGGCTTAATAAGTAACTGAGCTGGGACTTGAACCAAGGCCACTCTTAACCATCCAGTTTTACTCTACCCATGAACAGAATCCTACACTGATACTCACTATGCCTCCTAACCCTTCCCACACAAGAACAAAAAAGGAAAAACAAATTGGTTGAGTTAATGATTGGAAATCATTACCTAGGTGTTGTGCATTTCCACTGTGCTGCCTTAGCTTCTGTCTACATTATTTCCGACCTAGAACACTGTATCAATTCCATACAACAAATATTTACTCAATTCATTCTATGCAAGACACTGAATATGGGGCTAGCAACAGTGGAATGAAAGACCCACTTCCTGCTTTCAAAGAAAGCAGGCCATAATACATCAGGCTGTTATAGATGCTATAAAAGGGCTACAATTTTTTAAATGAACTTCAGAAGAAACAAATAAGTTTTGCTGAACTGGGTATAAAGATTTGAGTACAGATGTCATTTGGGCAGAATAAGCTAGAGATTTTGATGGGAAAAATATAAAGAAAGAATATTATAACAGAAAAAAAAGCATGAAATGTTGTATTTACCTTGAAGGGCTAAGAGGAAAGAGTCAATTTAAGTATGTGGATTTCAGAACCATTTGACCTGGGATCAAATCCTGGCTTCATCTTTTACTTGCTTTCAGAACTTAAAGCAGTTGATTAGCCTTTCTGAAGGCTAATAAAAGTGGCAAGCTTAATCTTTTTTCTGTGAGCAGTGTATTAACAAAGCAGTTGAACTAATGTCTGGTGTATAATTATACATAATTGTCAAGTATTGGTTTGTTTCATATGCATTTTTTTTTTACTTGTCTATATAAACTATGGGAAGTGGATGAGACATTTGTCCTGCACAGAGCTAATACAGGTTCAGGCCATAGTGGAAATGTGTGACAGATTTGGGAAATGAATAAAGCTTTAGAGAGTTTAGCAGAAGCCTGAAAATATAAGGTGGTGGTAAAGCACTTGCCTAGCACACTCAAGGCCTTGGATTTAATTCCAAGCACCTCAGAAACAGACAAACAAACAAAAAATGGAAATAAACACCATAAATACTGCTTTCTTTTCATTGTTTATTATCTTTCTTGGTGGAAAGCTAATGAAAAGTAAGGCAGCTAACATTATAAAAATATCAGGCCATTTATTTTATCAACTTTATTTTATATACACATGTATATTTTCTTATATACATGGATATAAGAAAATTCTGGGAGAATATTCCCTATATTGTCAGGAATAGCTATGTTTCATTAGTGTAATTTACCTTCACGCTGATATAGTATTTATTGTGTGCTATGTTCTATTCTAAGCTCTGTATAAATATTAGCTCATTAATCATCTTAACCAAATAAGATAGTCACTATGAAGTTAGCACATTTTACAGATAAGGAAACCAAGACACAGAGAGGTTAATTCTTCAAGGTTAAAAAATAAAGAAGAGATGGTCTATTTTATGTTACTTTCTATGTGTTTTTTTAGGCTTTCAAAGATTTCTATATTGAACACATATTAGCTTACTAATATAAAAAATAGATGTTTTAAAAAGCAAAATATTGATTCTTCATGGTCCATACTATGCAATTAAAAAAGATCTTGTATATTTTTCTTCTGAGTTTACACCTTTTTTGGTCTGGGGAATAAATCAATGAATTTTGACAATGTTATTCCCAACGAAAATGTGCTTCCCAGCAATTTAGTATTGTCTGCTCATAGGCATAAGAAAATAGTATCATACAATTAATAAACCAAGTTTGACACTGTATGCACATAATGTATATATACATAAATGTATATAATTCTGCTTAATTTTTCAGTGATCTCCTACAGTATTTACTTAGTTCGTTCATTAAACCCTAGGACAGTGAATATGTTTGACAGATGTGCTATTGTTTAAGCTCAAGTTCTTTAAAGTATGAGTAAAATGTTAACATTTAGAAATACATGGAGTATGGAAGAATGTGACTCCTTTGGAAGCTATGGTTTGAATACAGTTTGTTCCCAGCACCCACCCCCAAATTTATGTTTTTAACACTCAAAGTCAGATGTTAATGGTATTAAGAGATGAAAACTTAATCTGACTATAGTGGGGTTTTTGGAAAGTGATACAGTTCAGAGAAGGTCATTAGGCTGGAGACCACATGATTAAAACCTGGTAGCTTTATAAGAAGTGGGACAGAGACCACACATGCATACTACATCTGTGTGCTCCTTGTTTCTTGCCATGTACTGCCACATGACACTTCCAAATTCTGCCACCAAGAAGGCCATCATCAGAACTAAGACAAGTCTAGCATTGTGCCCTTAAGCCTCAAAAACTACAGGCTAAATAAATCTCTCCCTCATAAAGTTAACATCTGTCAGGTATTTAATTATAGTGATGAAAAGCTGACTAATATACATGTGAAGAGAAATACATGGAAAGTAGTTTATACTATTTTTAGCTGAGGCAAAAATTTGCTATATTTCCACTGTGGTAATTAATTTTCTTTTAATCATTAGTTCGTATAGAATTATAATATTTATTACCTGATTTCAAATTAATTATATTTTCTTCTCATAATAAAGTATTATTTTTTTCATAACTTCATTTAAAATTGGATACAATCTAAAAAGTCTGAAGGATTAAGGGATGCTTGATTCTGTTTTATTTTTTCTTTAAATTGTTACATAATATGGCTTTGATTGGTCACTTAGTGGATGATTAATATATCTAAAAGTTTTGCTTACTTAGTAGATAATTAATATATCTAAAAGCAGAAAAGTTACTTTATAAAAAAACTTAGTCCTAAAATATGTGCTTAATGAATTTGGTACAAACATTATTTATTTTTTTAATAATTTTTTTAGTTGTAGATGGATATAATGTCTTTATTTTATTTATTTATTTATTTGCATTGCTGAGGATTGGACCCAGTGCCTCATGCGTGCAAGGCAAGCACTCTACCACTGAGCCACAATCCCAGACCCTGGTACAAATATTATTAATTTAAAAGCATTCATTAACTCATTATCCAGTATCTCTTATCCCTAGTCCCTGAAAATCACTTTGAAGAGATTTCCATGCTTAACTGCTTCATCTATATTTATTCAGAGCTTGTTTAACTTTGGAGAAGTGCTTAGATACAGATCTGAGCACCAGGAATGATGACATTGGCCCTACAGTATTTCCAATCATTGAGGGGAGACTTAGAATTAAAAATGTAGTAGAATTAGTTCTAGAGTGTTCCGTGGGCACATGGGCTGGGCCTCTTGCCCAGTTCTGGTGGTAAGAGAAGGCTCTCCAGAGAAGAGACATGCACACTATGTTTTGAAAGGATGAGTAGATATGTACCAGGCTGAAAAGATAGGAAGATACTTGAAGGACAGGTGATTCATGCATGCATGTACCGAAGGTGGGGAAAAGTTTACAAAGATCTAACATGATCGCCCTCAAATCTATCAAAGCTTTCCAAAATATCCTTGCTACACTATATTTTTCTTTGTCATGTGTGAGTAACCTTATCATTTACCTCTTTCTCGGGGGGTGGGGGGTGGCGATGCAAGGGAGGCGTGTTTTAGTGGCAAAGAGTACAATATCTAGAGTTGAACAGCCAGGTCAGAACACAATTTCCACTGTGTCCCACTTGCTCATGAGGCAGTTTTAGGTAGGTTCCTCACTCTATTAGTTGTCTGTCTACTTTCTGTATCTTAAAAATGTGGGTGATGACAATAACATATAGTCTGTAAAATTGTTAAGAGGATTAAAATAAAACACTTAAGAGTGCCTGACCTGTCCTATTAAATATTAGGTACTATTATTTGGTAATCTTTGCATTATGCCTCATCACCTCTAGTATATTAGAAAGACTCTTAAAGGCAGGGAACCCACCTTATTCACCTCTAGTTTCTTCATAATAACTGATGTGTGCAAATTAAAATATTCAATTCCTGTGTTTTTTAAAAAAATGAAATACTAAGTTATTAAATGATACATATTCCAATAGTGATGCCATCCTTAAATATTTGGCTTCATGGAAAAGTATACTAAAAATAGATTGTTCTATACAATGTTCAAAGATTTATTTCTCATTATTTTTCTACCACTACTTTTTTTTTTTGGTGGCTCATTTAAAGGCGACTTTGTAGGTCTTTCACATATGAAAGGAGATGGATTTGTTAGACTTCCTCTTTTACACAAAACATGTATTTTAATGAATTTGTTTAACTATATTTTATAATACTTCCGACAATGTTATGTGTACAAACAAAACCTTTCACAGCTGAGACTTTAAAAAGTGCTCTCTACTAGTACGATAACTCGTGATATGAAAGAATTTAAAGATATCCATTAATGATACTATAGCAAAAAAATAACCTACGGAAGAAGGCAAATATGTATTGAAAGTTATACCTGATAACTCTTAATTATACTAAGGCAAACAATAGAGGTATCTGTTCTGCCAAAGGAAGTAAGAAATCAAAGGATTTGGCTAAGATTCTTTGGAAGGTTAAGAGCAATTTTGGGAAACAGAACATACCACATATCTATAGTCTACATATTTTGCCTTTGGCAGTTTCTATCAATGGAAAATGTAAATTGTCTTGCAGAAAGGACAAATTCAGATATATTGTCCAGGATAGTACTTTGGTAAAAGGCAAGACGTGATCAGATATACATGCATGGGAAACATCTTTTCATTTTTTCCTCTAGTTTATGGTACAGGAGATTCCTTGGATAGCAAATGTTTCCCAGCAAATATCTCTGTCTTCTTTTAAATTCTTCTCATTGGATGAATTATAGAATTGAAAAATTTAGACCCAGAATTGACTCAATCCTGGTAAATCTCTCTTGATAAAATTCCTTGTGTACTTGGTGATTCCATTCCAGAGTCTTCCATGGCTCCCCATTGAACCAGACATTTTTGGATCTTTATACCTGTGACTGTCTGAAGAGTCAATGGAAGTTGAGTGGCTTTTCTCAACAACTGGCCAAGCCTGACAAAGCTCCAGAACACTCCTTCCTCCACCTCAGAGCACGGATGTCACTCCTACCAGTATGTCTTCCCTGAACTGCAAAATAAGTGCTTTTTCAAGACTTTTGACACTAACTTGATATGACCTCAGACCTGGATATGTGTCTAGTTTTACCCAATCACCATATTTCCATTTCATTCCCTACTTCTCATATATTTTTATGCTCATTTGATTAAGGTGGTTGACTTCTGCAACAAGATAATAAAGCTAATTAAAGCCAGAATTGTGTTTGGTTTTGCACAAATTATGTCTCCACCAACTGGCACTATGCCAGACTTAAAACAGGTGCTCAATCAGCATTTATTGAATAAATAATTGAAGACAGGAAGGAAGGAAGCAAGGAAAAAAGGAAGGAACCTCTTCACCAAATCATTTGCAAGAGTGGGCAATTTGGATACTTTGTTCTCCCATGTTATTTTTCATGTTTGAGACCAAAATATAAAATGACATATGTGCTTAGTAAACATTACATGGCTTCTGTACATTAAAGTTTGGCTTCATGCATTTCTTCTATAATTTTCAAGAATAACTTAATGTGTTAATAATGTCATTGACAGAAATCGACACAGATGTCTTACTTGACTCTACACTGAACAGCACTTAAAGAAATACAATTTGCACAAGAAACATGATGAATATTCATCAATACTACTATCTAGATGATTTTTATGGTTATTTTGAATCAACAAAGGTACCATTCATCACTGGTGATTTACATCTCTGGAATGTGCCAGCTCACCACTGGTTCATTACCAAGAATCTTTGGAAAAGTGCACATGGTATCTGGGAGCAGCTCCAGATACTTGTATTATCATTACTTCAGCAGCCTGCTAAGAATTCTGCAGTCTGGATCCACTTGGAACAGGGGTTATTATAGAAATCCATCATGAAAAGTGTCTATATGAAATAATAAAAGCAAGGCAGGAAATTTTTACCCAGTCAGGAATTCCAAAACTACATATGGTGTAAGAATTCAAATCTCTTTATATCTACATTTTCAACATCTGTCTAGCCAAGGATTTAAAACTCCAACACTCTTTGTCTCATTTTTGTCTGCTCTCAAAGTGCATGGACCTCAAGACCAAATATTTAAAGTAATGTGCTGCTTTTAAAAAAATACTCACTGTAGGATCTTTGCCAGCCATTTTGCACTCTTCAACTTTGATTGCAGATGCTGGCCAGAAAACCTGCTCAGAAAGGAAAATAGGTTGCATAATCTCACTTGGATATATGACAGCTCAATGCAGTTCATTGACTTTTTGCTAACTGATTTCCTTAAGGTATTTTCATATTTTTGCTTTAAGATTCCTTTGTCTTTCATCCTATGAACTCATTATTATGTTATTATAACAACTATCTTTCTGTTTCTTTCATCAATTTTTATCTTCAACAAAAGCCACCTAATAATGATACACATTTACTAACTGTATATTAAAATTAGGCCATTATTAACATAGAGGTACACAATCAACACACATTTTGCTCATTTTCATTCATGGCATACTTTTCCAACTACTTATATCACTGTGCATTCACAATATACTATCTTAAGTTTAATATTATTTTTAGTAAGCCACAGAGCTAACTAGTAGATTTGCTTAAAAGGGCCCCTTCCTCCTTTAACAGCTAAAAGAGCTCAGGTAAAATCCACGAGTGTCTCTGAAATGCTGCGCTAGTGTTCTAAGATAATATTGTCTTGTCTGGGGTCAGGAATAACAGTAATGACTGCTTTTTTTTTTTTTTCTTCATTTATTAGCTTGTTGCTCATTTAACATGATAAATACAAAATTTTCTTTCCTTTAATTAATCTTCCTTATTTCTTTACTCAAATGAAGTTCAGTTATTTTGTTGTGAGATTAAAGGCCACACTTGTTCAAATAACTATATACCGGATACTGGTGTTCCTTTCAAATCCTGTGTGGATGACATAAATCTGATGAGGTGGGTCTTCCTTGAAATTGACCATTTCTTTCATGCTATACCCCATGTGGCTCTTTTTCTCTTTGTACATATGTGAACACAGGGAGCATTTTTCTCATGTAGCTCCAGGTTTTTGTTTAATAAAAACTATGAATCTAGACAGAGAGAACTGAACTCATACATTTTCAGAGCATGATATAAAAACTGCTTATGTATATATGACATGTGTCCAGTGTTTTCTATTATTCTAAAGAAATACATATTCATTATATTTGAAATTCTTAAAGAAAAAAAAAAGGCCCCCAGAAGGTCAAAATGGCCCTCATGAAAATGACAAACTTACACTCAAGGGTTCTTGACTTATATTGTTAATATTCAAGGAGAGAATGTGGTCTTTGCTGCCCACATAGATCCGATCCTGATCTTCATCCATTAGAAGTATCCTGTAGTCTAAAGGGTGGAGGGACAGGCTGAAGTACTCAGAGGTCTTGGTGTCCCGGAGTTCTGCAATAGTAAAAAGCTCATGTAAAACTAGAATGTCTTGGCTCTATAATTCTACTATTTCAATGAAAAGTCTTACAAGAATATTTACCCAAAAATGTCAAAGATATGTTTTTCTCCTACAGTAACCCTTATTTTAAAGTGGAGATATGTTAATGGACATTTTAAATTATGGCCTTTATGCTGAAGTAAAAACAAATAAATCAACAATTCAGTGTTAAAGTTTGCAGTGATACTATGTGATTCAAATTATGCATGTTTGCAATAATCTCAAGTTTGTTTTATGAGTGGATGTCATTGTTCAAAACTGCCCACATAGTTAAAATAGATGAATCAGAAAAATGTATAGTAGTAGAACAGAAAACAAAACCAACATCAGTGAGAATGTCTTATTTTCTATAAATGTTTTATTCTAATATGTACTACATTTAGCATTTTAGAATCATGTCCTACTCTAAATAATTTGCTTACTTCCTCAACATAATTTTAGTCAGTAGTATATTTTTCTATAAATAATTTGAAAATATATCTATTTTTTCATTATATTGTATTCAAGAGGCAATAATTTTAAATGATAGAATGCCTATGAATGTATCAAGGGAAAATATGCATTTTTCAAATATCTGAATCTTTATATTTTAAGCATCTGAATGATCTGTGACTCATGTTCTTGTAACGTCTTTTACATTAAATATGTGCCTTAGTAGCTGTTCTTTAAGAACAATGAAGGTATTATGACAATAAAAGCAGCCAATAACCACTGTAGCAGACCCAATTTTGTCTGCAGGCAAAATGTTCCTTTGAACAATTTAAGACTTTTCTATCAAGCGATTTAGAATTTTTGTTGTTGTTGTTCTTTTGACTATGATCTTAAGAGAATGAGAAACTCTAAGAACAAGACTGCTTTTTGAGATTACTGCTCCCATGATGAACGGATTCTAAATTTTTAGGTATAGAATCAAATCAGATTTCGAGAAACTTTGATATGGCTATAGTTTGACAAACCAAAGTGCAAATAAATGACACTAATAGACATCAAGAACTACATTCTGTGAGATATATCTTACATGAGAAGATAGAGAAGTCACAAATTTGACCTGTTTTCTTGGCAAACCAGTTCAGACTGTTTAACATAATCTCCTCCAGGTAGTTTCAGCCAATGATATCAGTGGCTGTGGTGCCCAACTTCCTGTGATATTAACTTCTCTGTTAGGTAACCAATTTTCTTTTTTGTAAAAAGCAACAATAACAGTGCCTTGGGAACTGAGAATTCCCATGAAAATCAACTGAAATAATACATGTAAATATTTGTAATGAGTAAGAAAAAGTGTTCAATAAATTACAATTCATATTACTGTTATTAGTATTCATGTTAAGTTTGCATCATTTATATAAAAAAGAAGACATTTAGGTAAAATAAATACATGTTTTCCCTTTAGCTTTTTTTTAACTTAAGGAAGTCACATCCATGAAATTATTAACACATAATATTAAAGCCTAATTCTCAGATAAACAGTTCATATAATAGTAAAAGATGTGATTTTTAATGTGGAAAACTAACTGAGAAAAACTTTTTCAGAAGACTCTTGAAAAGCACAATCACAAGGAGAGACAAGAACAAAACACAGTCAGGTATTGATATAGATCTTTGCAAATGAGACTGGCGCTGGGCACAGGAGAGTGTGCTGACCTTCCAGTTTTTGAGCCTCATTAGACATCATGGACAGAATGGTGACACAGCTAACAGGTGTTGCCACTGGCCCAGAAACTGGGACAGTTTCTTTATGAGGAGGGTAAAAGAGGTGATGGGTGGGGATAGATATCATGCAGGAAAATGGTCGGACCATGGTAGAGCAGAGGTTAAGGATAATAGAAAACTTTCTGAGAGCCAAGTACATGGTACAGAACTCAGGATCAACAAGTGTCCCTCAAAGGCCAGATTGCCTTCATTCTGTCTAAATTCCCAGTGTGTTACCAAGCTTGCTTTTCACTGAAGGAATGTAATTCACAGTTGTGCAAACATTTTGGGTAGGTTATAGCTTGGGCAGCAGAAGAGATTCGAATTAGTATCTTTTGTATAAATAATTCTCCAGTGAAACAAATAGAATAAAGCAATAAAATGACTGAGTTCTTGCCTCTGGGACCCAACCACTGGAAAGGGTCTGAATCCTGGCTTTACCATTTCATTTTGATATGTACTTATATGTCTCTCTGAATCCCAGCATTCTCATCTGTAAAGTAAGGATGATAATAAACATGTCTCACTGGGTTGCAGGGAGGTTTAAATTGGTAGTACCTATTAAGTGAACCTTAGTTACAGTGATGCTAGTTACACAGGTTACCTATTTGAGATTTGGGGTGAGACATCCATACTCAACCAACAAAGTAAGAACAAGTCTTCACATGAGAGAGGAAAAAGAGAGAATCTACTTAAATTACTTGAGGAGAATACAATAATAAAATAATACATTCTTAAGGGAAATAAATTGAGTATACGGAATCACTTTGTAGTGTGAGAAAGACTAAGAGAGTTTTAGTTGTCAAAACATGATGCTGATAAACTCCAGATATACTAGAAACGGGAAGGAAGAGTTGCTGCAACAAACACTTAGAATCAAGGATATGAAATGATTTTATATGAGATTGGGGGGAGATAAAAGAAAGGCACAATTTATCCCAATGTATAGTTAAGATTTATTTTTTTCAAAATATTCTGTTTTCTTTTCTCTTTCTTTTCCTAATCCATACTGAAATAGAGCCAAGAATGAGTTATTAGCTAGGAAAATAGCCTCAATTGATTTTTGTTTGCAAGTAACAAACAATGGCAGTTCTCTTCTTTACCTGTTTCATTAGAAAATAATCAATATTTTGCATTAATTCAAATACCAGAGGGAGCAATAATCACATCAACTTAAAGACATTTCTGGTCCAAGGATTTTTAATTCATGTTCCTGAGCCATAAAGCATTTTCAGATTTAATTATCTGTATCTCATTTACTGTGTGACAGCTGTTAACCAAGGAAGATTTACTTCAGAAGTGCCCTTGTCATGATAGGAGCCTAGGCTATTTTGTTAAAATGCTATTTAAATTGCTGTTAGTACCAATGATTAAATTTTGGGACTTGAGGAAATTACATTTTACTCTTTTTTTAGAATAAAGAGATGAGTTCAAAGCAATGAGAGTTTTATCTATAAAAAGAATGACCCAAGAATCTATCATTTTGATTCAATGTAGATCCATCTTCTGTAAATGAGTGTTTCAATTACTTGTCCACCATTGTACTAAATGACTGATTTAATGGTGTGGTCCCAGGGAGAGAAAGAAATCACAATTATTAGTTCCTCATCTAAACAAGTCCAAGAATGGAACTGTCTTACATTTCTTTTAATCTTAATGATGTCATTCTTTTTTACAGCATCAGAGGTACAGCTGGTTGTGTTGTTTCTCAGGACATGCTCAACTGATTGAGAAGAGACTTGGCTGAGAGGAAGTCGGATTAGAAAATGCAGCCCCATAAAGGGCAACATAGGTCTCCAAGTTCCTGGGAAAATCTCCTGGGAAACAGTATTAAAAAAAAAGAAAAAAATAGAGCATGTTTCTGTCCTGGACTCTGCATTATTGTAGAGTTCCATGATGGAAAATTACTGCAATCCCTTCTATGCCAATGTTTTCTGAGTGAAATTTTACAGCACAATATGCTCACCTAAAGTTCATGTGTCCACATAGATTTTGCTTTGTAATGGAAGCCACTGTGAGACTTGAGAATTTAACCCAAACTAGAACAATGCATTCCCCAAAATATAAACACTAGCATTGTAAACTTCTGAGTCTACTTAAGTATAGTCAGTGTATTGCTATAGCCATTAAAAATCAAAACAATCAATATACAGTAATATTTTTTTATCTGTCAATAACACTTCATTCCAGTCACATAAGAACTAACCTTTGGTTTCTGTTAAGCCAGAGATTTTAATATTCCTGAGGTGACTAAGTCCTTAAGAATCTCATTTATGTGCCCTGGAATGTAATCTTATTGGGGGTGTTTATAGTGTTACCTTTTATAATGAATAATATACATTTGTTAGACTACATAGAAAGGGAGCTCATAAACTCAGAATACATTGTTATTGGTCTTTCATAAAATTCCAAAATAGGCAAAAAATCATTTGATTGAAAACCACTTCCCAAAAGTCTCTCATTTAGAAGCATATGCAATAATGAATTATTAATTATATTTAAAGCTCATAATGCACTATTGATTTTTTATTCAACACATATTTATTGAGTTCTTATCACACAAGGCTGGATATTTTGCTCAAGTAGAGGAAACAGCTACGAAGATTTGACCTTGTGACAATTTTAAGTCTTACCTATGTTCTGTTATTTTGTTTGGCTACCCCAGTGTAGCATCGCCCCATTATAAACTTAACTCTGCTTCAGGCAGAATGCACACTACAGATTTCAAAGTAAATCCTTGGGATACCTTTTACTTAAAAGATAGTGCTACTGACAGGATAATTTCCTCTCCTGAAAGTCTTATCTCAGAAGAATGTTAAGTAGAGTGGGCTCAAATGACCATCCTCTCCCTGAGGCTTAAGGTTTTGCAACTGGGTTAGAAACTGAACTTCACCTGCAACTAAGAACAGAGCAGGGAGGAAGAGCAGGAAGAAAAGATTAACATTAAACAGATACATGAGGTAGGATGGAAAGGGAGAGAAAAGGGAAATTGCATGGTAATGGAGGGAGACCCTCATTGTTATACAAAATTACATATAAGAGGTTGTGAGGGGAATGGGAAAATAAACAAGGAGAGATATGAATTACAGTGGATGGGGTAGAGAGAGAAGATGGGAGGGGAGGGAGGGGGGATGGTAGAGGATAGGAAAGGTAGCAGAATACAACAGTTACTAATAGGGCATTATGTAAAAATGTGGATGTGTAACCGATGTGATTCTGCAATCTGTATTTGGGGTAAAATTGGGAGTTCATAACCAACTTGAAT